GTGTGGCCCATCTAAAAAATGTTTGATTAACTTTAACTGTTTTGACCTTCGTTCAGCGCTTGTAATCAGCATAGCAGAAGGGGAGCTATCGCAGGGTACGAGGGCCTAAGAAGGCCTAAAAAGTTCTATTGTATTTTTTTATTTACAAGCGTTCATTAAACCTATGAAATCACACTTGGTCGATGAGCAGAGTCAACCCTGCGTTGCGCAGTTCTCAACGGCCACGTTGCGCAGTTTCGCCCGATTAGACACGTTCTCTCGCGCGAACATTCACACTCGCATGCTCGAGCCGTCTGTGTCTCCGCCCATACAGCGTGCGTTGAGGATCTCTCAACGTGCCGTTGCGAACTGCGCAACGCAGGGTTGACTCTGCTCGTAAGCCCCTAATGCCTTGTCGCGTATCTTGAAATGCGTGGACGGCTCAATACATGCAGCTGCAGACCCAAGCACCTCATTTTCGGGAGGACTTGTTCCATCAAGCAACGACGAGTGTGACTTTAAATTCGCCCTTCGGCATTAACCAAAACGGGAAGATCCAAGTAAGGGGTTCTTTACAAACATAATATGTACAAAACATCATGATGACTTTCCTTTCACCATAAAACAAGACTTTATATTCGTACACTAATGTGGCAACATGCTGCATGCTTATACGTCAACACTGAACAATTATGTTGTGGACAATGATGCGATCGATATTCGATCGATAACAATTCTACAGCCGACTATTCTTTGCCGCTACTTCACTCCAAAATTTTCTCCGCTTTCGGCCAAGTCAACAAAAAAGGTCAGCTATAGAACATTCCATATTGCAGCAATGCACTGTTGCCAAAAATCAGAACCACGAAAATAAAATGATCCGAAGTATAAGTCTTCTATAAAGTAATATAAGTGTTAGTATCGACGTATTACAAAATCTAGGTTCTTCTGTGGATTACGATCTCTGCTTCTGTTTTTTCTTTGGGTTTTCAAGCATTTCGAGAACCTGAATTATCAATTTCACTTCGTTATTCGTTATCGAATATCTGGGAACGGTGTGCACATACGCTGGATTAACATGAGATTCTAAACTCATACGTAAATCTCAAAAGTACACCTGACTATAAAAAGGTCAGAGCATTAGGCCGATGTCAGACTTTGCGAATCGCGCGATTCGCTAGCGTCTGCGGTCGCGTCGCGGCCAGTGAATCACTCAATTGGCTGGTACCGCAACGCGACCGCGGACGCTAGCGAATCGCGCGAATCGCTAGTAGCGAATCGCGCGATTCGCAAAGTCTGACATCGGCCTTGGCCAGTGAACAGCCCGTGTTGCATGCGCCACACATTGAACCTATACTCAGAATTGTTACACCATTTGAATGTGGTTTGAAGGCACGCTCCGGGATTAGGCGCGCTCGCCTGTTCCATCCCGGGGGTAGTAGGCAGGGGACAAGCGTTGATGTCGCGCCCCTTTTGCCGCTTGAAAGTGCGCGACAAAGGCGCAAGGAGCTCGTCCGACCGCAACTCACACCTTCGTCCGCAAGCCCCACCCTCCGCTGTCGTTGCCACGTGGCGCTGTTTAAAAAGCGCGGGCGCATTGAGGCAGCGGTCTTAGGTGGGTCAGTGTCATTGGCACTGAAGCAAGAAGAGCTAGGTTCGTGTTAAACTCGTCCAACGCGCCCCTTCTCTATCCCAAGGTGGAATGTGGCTGAAATAGGGGAGGTCTCTGGGGGCGTAATCGGTGGTTTCGTTTGCTTTCCTTCTCTTTTACAGACCATCTCCCACCTAGCTTCATAACTGAACGCTTTTCCACACCTTTTATCCCGAATCTTGCCTTTTGAAGCAATCGTCCACGGAAAAATCATGATTCTATCTCAAACATAAATCACTGGTTGAGACCATCATTCACGATAAGAACGAAAAGAAAAAAATTCGTTTGTTTTCGTAAACAATTCAAAAACCCGAAGGACTGTTACGCGTTCAAATTCCCGCCGTACATCTGTCACAAATGTTGGCGACAGGAACGATTCCACTTTTAGGTCAGTTCTCGAAAGCCTTCCAGTACTCGTTCTGCGTTTTCCTCCCAAATTCGAACACGTTGCATCTGGATTCTTTCAATGGCGTCGTCTAATACGGGACGTTCCGAAGACGGACTCTTCCATATGTTCCGTGCTTACTGCGACGACCTACTTTCAACCATCCAGTAGAGTCGTGCGTTTTCAGCAAGCTGCGTCTCAGGCGGCAACTAAACCGCGTACGTGAAACTTTGTATGTGTGTCTCTAGTAATCACAACTTGCATAAATGTTGAGAAAGAATGCAAGAGTTTTTCGTGGATTCCGCTAACAAAGTCACAGTAGTTTAAAGATCGCGGAAAATTCTTGCATTCTTTCCTAACATGAATATGTCAGTTGTGATCACTGGAAATAGCACACAAAGTTTCACGCATGAAGATTCGGTTTCTGAAGAGAAACAAACGTACAAAAACTACACGTTATGGACCATCGAAGGACCAGGAGGCAGAGCCAGGCGAGGCATGGAAAGAAGACGGCGTTTGGCCGGCTACGTACCAGGCGACGCAATGAGAGAATCGGGTTAAAGCGCGCGATTTCGGAGAGTGGAGACAAATCGATCGATGGAATAGGATGGAGTAGAAGTGTAAGATGTGAATGCAACGAAGCAGAAGGCCAGAAAGAGCTTCTAGTGAAGGCACTCCAAGAACCAAGTGGAAGCATCCCGTCGCCAGCATTTGTGACAGATGTGCGGCGGTACTTTGAACGCGTAGCAGCCCTTTCGATTTTTCGAATTTTTTTACCGAAACAAAAGCAATTTTCTGTTCTTTTCATTCTTATCGTGAATGATGAGTCTCAAGCCAGTGATTTATGGGCTGAGGATTCCTTTAATACTCAGAAAAGAACGCCGTTACTGTTTCATCTTTCAAACGGAGATGATCAAACCCGCCCTTTGAGCCTTTCAACTCGACCTCATGATAGCTGAGGAAGCGATGGGGTTTTGATGTGTCATTGAACGTCATTGGTGGACTATCGCCTTCACCGCGCCGAGGGGTGCGGTTGGGACTGCCTCTTCGTTCAGTGATTCATCAGAATCGCAACACCCCCTGTGGCCATCGTGATCACTGCCTTTACTTATGCATCTTTTCCATGATAGCAATATGATCCATAGATTTCCATGCTGAAACCATTTTCAAACCTGATTTGCGCAAGCTGGTAGTCTCGTTCCAGGCCCGAAAATGAGATCGGCGCCGGCCTTGTAGAGTTCATCGTAGTCCTGTGGAGGAATCACACCACCAACAACTACAACGATGTCTCTGGAATGACCAAACATTCAAGCTTGTCCCTATCCAATTCATCTGTCCTGAAAAAGTCTTGGCTCACTCTCTTCCCAGCTTGGCGAGTTCCTGAACCAATTGAGGCACAAGGGTCAGATGTCCGGCAGCCAGACTGCTTGCTCCGATCACATGAACGTCTGCGTCGACAGCTTGCTGGGCAGCTTCGGCCGGGGTTTGGAACAACGGTCCCACGTCCACGTCAAATCCTGAACTCACGTTTTTGTAAGGGACTGGCAGTACTACCATATGAAAACATCATGAAATAATCTGTGCGCTTAATGCTTTAGAAACCCCGTCAAACTTACCAAGATCTGCGAATCCGGTAGCGACAACCTTGGCGCCACGGTCATGGCCGTCTTGACCCATCTTGGCCACCATGATACGCGGTTGACGACCTTCCTTCGCAGCGAAAGCCTTCACACGTTCCATCACCTGAAAACTGCTATCTAAATCCGATTTGGGTGCGGAAGTGGAAATGATGCAACTTTGGGCATCACCTGGAGACATCTCGTCCGTTTCACCGAATTCCGATTTGTAGGCTCCGGACACCATCTTGTTGACGGCAGCATAGCTGAACACACCGAATGCTTCTTACATTCTCTTTCATATAAGTTCAGGAAGTAAAAATTTTAAGCTGTGGCTTAGCTCAACCTAAGAAACTTTCAAGATTTGTTAGCACGATTTCTGAAAGCAAACAGGGCGCTATCACAATCAACGGGGCATCCTCTAGGACTAAGGCTAGGAGGGGTCAGGAGTTCCGGGAGAAATGGAAAGGGCCCGGGACATGGAAATATCTTGAACATCTGTTGAGTGCCTGTTCGTCTAAGGTTTAGTCCCCGTTTCTATCTAGAAAGGGCATGTTTTTACAGTGGTTCTAATATACATTGCCACCACAGTGGCCGCCAGTTATTGGGCGATAAGCGCCGCAATACAAACTTTCGCAATGGCTCTTGAAAATTTTAAAGTTTTTCACAGTTGTTTCATTTTTTGTAATTTCACAACTTTTCAGTGATCCTATAATTTGCCTGTGTAGCAAGAGCTGACAAAGGTTTTTTTCAGAAAACTTCGACCACACTTACCGAGTGAAAACCTTTTCCATGGCGTCGCTGATCTCGCCGACAGTACATCTGGCACGAGACGCTTCAATAGCCAGCTCCAACAGGTTACCCTTTCCAGCTGCTCCCTAAAGAGGTCAACCTCGGGAAAACGATTTATTGTAAACAGTGGTTCGTAGGGTCACTTGCCTGTGTGATCGCTTCTAGAGCTGCTTATTTGGACCTTGTGCCAAGGATCTCTGTCCTTACGGATTTGCTCACAATATTTGCATCTGCTGCTCAGCGCACTTTTGTTATCACGGTGAAAGCACATCAACCGTTCGTTCGCTAGCAAAGAGGTGGAGAGAACAATCGATTGCACAATGCGATAAAAGTCTGGAGTTGTTTTCTTTGGTGGGTCCACTTCGTGACTGAGGAGGATCGTGTAAATTCTGACCCGGAATTTTTATTCTTTCAAGTGTTTCCTGAAAAAAAAGAGAACAGGATGAAAAGTGGTCCAAGCAGTGAAGCGAATGAAAGGAAACCGTTGAGAGTCAAGAGCTCCCTTAGTTTGAAGCGAAAGCAATGAGAGACTGAGGACGGAGGAAGAGAGGGCAGGCGAAATAGTACAGCGCACAGGAGAGGGCCGGCCGACATGGGCGCACAGCTTACAATCGAAGAGCTGATAGGATCGAAGCAGTCTTGGGCAGGCCTGTGTTGCGCACTTTCGAGACCGAAAAAGGCGACATGTGCGAAATGATTGAGCAGCCCAACCCTACCCACCAGGAAGATGGGTTCACCTAAACTCCTCGTAGTGTCTGCCCTTAAGCACCCTAGTGGCTGTACGCGCTGAGTATGCCTGCTAAAAAGTTCAGAATAACGACACAAGTTCTAACATCGTAGCGAAAAAGCGCTACGCGATGTAACTCAGATTTTTCAAAAGATCGCGAGCGATGGAGTGCGAATGGAAAACAAAATCCGAAAGCGGTACCATTCAGGCAAGACGATACTGTGTTACAACGATACAATACATCTTTTCCAGCATCGATACGAGCCTGCTTCTTGGCAGCTGCTTCCTCAATCCTTAGCTTGGTCATGCCTGATGCAACAGCCTTCGCCATTCCACCCAGTTCCATTATTTCATCAATCACCTGAAGTTGAAAGTCTGATCATGATTGAACCAGGACAGACAGACCCCGCCTTAAAAGCCCCAAAAAATAAAAAAAAGCCAGCCAGATGTTTAGTGAGGAAGCGTTTACCTTGCGGCTCAGGGTGTATGGCTCCATATGGACAATCACAGATGTGGCACTGCCGGGCGCGTGGGAAAATACTTACAAGGCTACTAGGGCCTTGGAAAGATAAGCGTGGCAGCAGCTTTCATGGCAATATTGAAAATCCGCAAGCAGCACATTGTCAAGGCGGCTACTGTCATGCTGAAATCGTGTATCTCATGCCTGAATGCTCTCCTGCAAAGCGCTCGAGTCTCTCACTTGCCTTACTAAAGGCTGCATTACTGCGGAAGGCTGGCAAGCCTTGAACTCTAGAGCGTGTGATTGGATAGATTCTTTTGCATTTACGCCGCCATTGTGCAGCCAGAAGTTCGTGTAATTCGTATGCAGAAACAACAACAGGCCTTCAAGAAGTTTTTTGGCAAAAAAGTTTCCCAGCCTGGATAAACCGAGAGGAAAAGCAGAGGCTGGATCAAAAAGCAGAAAGCGAACCGTGACCTTCTGAGATACGAAAAAGCCCCTAGCAGAGCCGGTGGTAGCAACTACTGATAAATTTGTAATACTCTCATACCTTTCTCGCTTTAGTATAAAAATTTCATCCGTTAGGGACTCCATCATGTATGATCCTCCCCAAGGATCTGCGACCTGAAAGTTAGAGATTAGCAGATGTCCCAAAAAATTCGCAGGGGTGCCTGCGCAGGTCAGTTCTGGTGCGGATTTGGATGGGATGCTCTCAGGAGCTGCATTAACTCTGATGGTGGCGCTCACCTTGCAAATACCGCTCTCTTCTTGGATGATGATCTGTGTGTTTCGAGCAATTCGAGCCGAGAATTTCGTGGGCAGACCGAGGGCCTCGTCGAAGGAGTTGGTGTGCAGCGATTGCGTTCCACCAAACACTGAGGCCATAGCTTCGATAGTGGTTCGAATAATGTTGTTGTATGGATCCTGCAATTTACCTATTCAGGTGTTCAAGCGATACTGTGAGCGATAATTTCCCTATACCTGTTCAGTAAGAGACCATCCGCTGGTTTGCGAGTGAGTGCGGAGCATAAGTGATTTGTCACTTTTGGATTGAAGCGCTCCTTGAGGAGATTTGCCCACAGGCGACGAGCTGCACGCATTTTGGCTATTTCCTAAGGTAAATCCATGAATGATTGCAATCATTAGAGAGCGGGCGCTATCGCAATATACGGGGCATTGTAATGGTAGTATTCCAAACCGCGTGGGACATGTCTTTTTCTTAAAGACGGGACTACCCATAAGCCTTAGGCGGGGGATAGACTCCAAGATGCGTGAGCCATTTTCACTTTCTTCGGAGCTCCTGCCTCCTCCTGGGTTCAGTCCTAAAGGTACGCCCGTATATTGCGATAGCGCCAGAACACGCTTTCACACACTGAGAAAGCGTTCAGAGATCTTCCTCACCATGTAGAAGTTCATTCCGATGCCCCAGAAGAAGCTAAGACGAGGAGCAAACGCATCGATGGTGAGACCTGCGTTGATTCCCGTTTCGCAGTACTGGATGCCATCAGCGATTGTGAAAGCCATCTCCAGGACTGCATCAGCACCTGCTTCCTACAATAAAGTAGAATAGCCCATGCGAGTGATTCGCCATCCAGGAAAACGCAGGCACCAGGATTCCTCGAGTGGTGCTACTACTCAGTGAAGGATATTCACAGGGGATCTTTTGCGCTCGAGATGTTTCCCAGTAACAAGGCTCCGATCGACCTTGATCAAACTTTGATACGCGCTCGAAATCAAATGCTGGGTGAAAGGTTCAGAGGATGCTTCGGAGAATAAAGTTTGTATTCAAAAGATTCGGGAGGTTAGGATGCGTAAGTCGTAAACTTGCAACATCACCTTAGCGCTCGCCATTTGGTGAGTGGAAGGGAATTGAAAAGGGTGCGGGATGGAGAAGGGCGAGAGAAAGCTTACTAGTGGAGGGTGACACCGCAACGAGACGGTTGTTCCTGGGTGAGCCACACACGCTCACTCGTTATCACAAAGCTATGTATATGAACGATTGTGCCACCTATGTGAAATCAACACAAACTTCATTTTTCGAGGCACTCTCTGAACCTTCCATACAGCAGTTGTTCGAATGTGTGAACGGGTTAGCCTGTCCGCGTTTGCAAGTCCCATGTTATTAATCAGACCCTGTAGACTTAACCTGGTCCTTATTTGAGCCCATCAGCCCTGAGTGGGTTAGTATAAAGGTGGAAGTGAACATCATTGGGATCTGCAAGTCATGTTCGCACGTTAGAATACCTCTGGTATTCTTTCGCGAAATAGCGGCGTGCCTCAACCCTTCTGAACATTTTAGTGCCAGAACTTGGTTACGGACTACATCCTATCGGCATAACTCATCCATACCAAGCTGCTGAGAAGTGGTACGAAAAGGCGAAAAGCAGGCAAACATGAGAAAGGAAAGAAAAGAAAGCAGGCGTTTCGAGATAGGAATGTCCGGCAGGTCATCCACAGTTTCTTCAATTTATGAACCTTTAACGCAACGAATTTCAAGTCCTCCCTTCCTTGGATGTGCTTACCTGCATGTGATATCCAGAAATTGATATACTATTCCATTTGGGCATTTCTTTGCTTGTGTAGGCAAAAATATCTCCTGTAACAATAGGTGGATGAAATGCAGACTCAATGAATGTGTCAGATTGTCACCTACCAATGATCCGCATTGAGTGATCAGCGGGTAACTATGTGCGTATACGAAACCGAAATTCCTTCAGAATATCATTTTGAATAGTACCGGCCAGCTTCTTTCGCTCAACTCCCTGAACAATCACTCACTGACTCAGTTATGGTTAGAACCAAAACGGTGGCTGAGAAATGAACTTTTTGCTCGAAGTTTTGTTTCGCGCCGTTAAAATTATCCCTAACGATAAGGATCCGATTTATTCACTATGTCCCATTGATTGATTGTAGGTAATCAAAGCGGAGAGAAATATTCCATATTCGGCTATCCTATTGACTCTTTGATCGAATCACTTGACTCTACATGGTAAGCTGCAGCACCTCAAAATTACTAGAATCCTTAGAGGTAGAAGGAGGTCGAGGACTGTCAGAGATGGCTTCACCCAGCAGAGGTCCCTACGGTGATAAGTGATGATCGGAGCTCAAAGAATCGTCTGCTTGCTACCACTAATAGTGGGAATCTTGGGATCCTGTCCATGAGGGGAGGAAATTCAAAACAGGACCAATCGTGGATGATACTAGCACTAAGCCTAGGAGAGGGAACAGCGTCAGGGAAAAATTAATTGCTTCCCTCCATCAGAATCCCTTCGCCCACCCCCTCCCCCTTCTCTAAGACTTACAAGGGAGCTCTTTCAGGACATGGAGCGTTTTTCGAAAATGCGTTCCTGATTTTTAATGAGGAGTCTGAAGACACAGAACCATGATCCATTTTTCGTAAAAGCTTCCAGGAATGCCAAAGCAGTGGTGAAGAAATGGTCCATTCGAGTTCGATCCCGGTGATGACTAATTTTTGCAATATAGTTTGGCGCCCCCACATTGCCGCCAAATAGAGCTCGAGAGTAGATGTCATTGTTGTGTTCTGTGGCAATTTGGTGGCGGTAAAATACATTGCAAAAAATTGTCATCAAGGAGGATCGAACTTGGGACCATTTCTTCCTCGCTATTTTGATTTCCAAGGCGTTCAGAGTAAAAATGGGCCATAGTTCAGTGTTACTTACATGAGCCTCTACAACATCAGGAAATTATTTCGAAACAACGCTTCATGTCCTGAAAGACACCCTCCCCTAGTGAGGCTTAGTCCCAAATGATGTAGGTGGTGCTCACTATGAATGCTCCCTACCTCCCTCCTCCCTGCGCCCCCATCTCTGAACGAAATGAGCGTCGAATTTTGTTCCTTTGTGGATGAAATCTACTGACCGACTCTTCTGCAGCAACGACGTACATTGCTAGGACTGGGATCACTGCTCCATTCATTGTCATGGATACGCTCATCTTATCAAGCGGAATGCCCTCAAAGAGCTGAAAAGCTACAGGTTCTAAAGGCGGCTAAAGAATGATTCCTATCAAATTTCAGTAGGCCAATGACAATAAGCAGACCCTCTTCATATCTTCAACAGAGTCCACAGCCACACCTGCCATACCTACGTCGCCAAATACTCGTGGATTATCAGAATCGTACCTGAAAGAGGATTTTTAAGTGGACGTTACCTCTCATTTCGGCGCTATCGCAGTTTGTGGAGACAACATCTGAAACCGCGTGATACATCTCCTTTTTGTTAAGATTTGGACTCAGACCGGGAGGAGTAGCTCCAAAGTGCGTCAGCCATTTCAATTTTTTCCGGATTGCCCCCCTTCTATGCTTATTGTTAGTCCCAAAGGATGCCCCTGCATAATGCGATAGCATTTCAATCATTGCGATAGCCTTGTGTGAATCTGACTAACCCTCGATGCGTGGCCAAGTCGAACGCTACGGAAAGTCCTTGTTGGCCAGCTTTGAATGTTCTCTTTGTAGAAGGCATTAGACTCTTCAACGGTCGAGAAGCCGGCGTACTGACGAATCGTCCACGGGCGATGGGTGTACATCGTTGGATAGGTCCACGAGTGAACGGATATTGGCCAGGGAGCTGTAACAGCACAACTAAAACAAAGCCATCAGACTTCTTTCCTTCAGAGCAAAATTAGCGAAATAATGAGCTCCTAACTTACAGGAATCCATAGGAATCTCGGCTATTGCAAGATAGGGGGCATTGTTGCGGCAAAGCATTCAGAACCACGTTAAAGGAATCTTCCACGGACCATGGACCAGTGGGCGGGACCGGAAGTGGTTTTGCGACGAAATGCATGGTAGGTACGGATCCACGTTCATGGGAAGGTTTGAAGTGAATCCTGTTCACGTTCGTGCGTTCGACACGTGGATCCGTACCTACCATGCATTTCGTCACAAAAACTTCCGGTCCCGCCCACTGGTCCATGGTCCGTGGAAGATTCCTTTAAACATCTTGTTTTGTTAGAAAATGCGGAGTAGGCGTTAGGTGGGGTTAGCGTGAGAATCTAGGGTTGCATGCGTATTCTTTTTCCCCGCAGATCCTGCACCCTTTTAGACTTACTTAGTTCTAGGGAATGCACCCGTATCTTGCGATGGCACCGGAGATTCTACTTGAATACTTCAAAGCATCTCTGAGCTTTTCCACCGAGTCTCATCCGTCGCCGTTTTCGGATCAGTTACAGCGCTGGTTATCGTCATACT